TTATTATTTATATTAAAACATCATTTGAATCTAATTTAATAATTTTTATTCTATTTTCTTAATCAATATTTTAATTGATTATAAATCTTTGTAGCCTTTTAGTTAATTAAATTTTTTTAAAATATTACTCAATGTATATATAAACTTGATGAGTAGTATTTCGAGCCAAAACGAGCCGAACACGAACAAACACATCTTAGTTCGTGTTCGGCTCGTTAACTTATCAAATGAAATTAACGAGCCGAACATGAGCTGTTCGCGAACAACGAGCCGTTTTGACAGCCCTAGTGTATACACACGATAACATCATAATACTACCATAATATCACAAATTTGTACATATATTATCCGCTTACTCGCCAGAGCAGCAGAACTACTTCTAAATAAAAAAAAAAATATTTGTCAGCTAATCTCAATGTTAACAAACCATGAATCGAAACTTCTAAATTCCAAGTCCCATCTCTCTCAACCCAATTCCGCACATGGAAATAAGCAGATCAGGATCATGGCCGCTGATAGAAATCATGAATCTACACTAATCTCCCCGCTCGCTCTCTCCTTCGCATCTCTAAGCCCAATCCTCGCGCGCCTGCACGCACAAGCCGAAAATGGCTAAACCCAAACTTCAAATCTGACGCCTTGCTGTTACAAACCGCAAGCACCATGAATCTGACTCGTCTTACTTTCACTAAGCCTAAAAGTCTCGTCTTTGGAGTCGTCTTCTCCCTCGGCGAGGAGCAGCCCATGCATGGGACTCGGAAACCCTGCTTCTCACCATTAATCCAGCTTCATCACGAGGCAATATAACACTTTCAAAATCTGCACCGACTATAGCCATCAATCAAATTGTATCAATTCATGCACTAAATCAATCTGGTTAGTTATTCATTGTTCGGACTCGGGAGAGTAAAATTGGTCATATATCTTCGCGAGCGCCATTAATTAATTGAGAGGAATCCGCCATTGCGAGTTTTCCGCACCCACGTAATCCCGAAGGATCGATTTGAAAACAATAAAAAGGAAAGGTTTTGGAGTGAAAAGAAACTGCATTTGGGGAGCTCTAAATTGTGCTTCCCTCCTTCATCACGTTTTCCATTTCCCGCCGGATCGATTAAAAAACCATGGCAGGTGGACCGGCAATCGGTGACTTTGAGTTTAGCCATCTCTAGCTCCCATTTGGGCGAAGCGATAAAGCCCCATTGGACTCGCCTCGCTGCACCTGACGCGTTAAGTCTACTGTTCTCCCTCATCTCTCTCTCTTTCTCTCGCGCTTGCGGCTGCAATTAGACGAAACCTCTCTCCTTCGAGGTCAATAGGTTGAACGGAGAAAGGAGGAAGAAAGGGAGAAGTGCTGGCTGCGGCTCCAGGTGCAGGGGTCGCCTGCTCTGCGATCCAATCCGACCCAATTATCCTCCGCGAGTTCGGTGCAAATTAGGGTTTTTGCTGCATCGTTTCGGCGCTTGGAATTCGATATATATCTCTCTGCTTGATCAAGATCTCGTCTTTGATTGTTTCTGGGATTTAGGGTTGAGTTCTGGGTGAGGGGACAAGATGATTATCAAGCGGAGCCTGCAGGGGCAAATGCCGAGCCTGAAGCGTTGCAAGGCGGATGGAGATGGAGAGGGCGACGGTGATGGGGCGGCCGGAAGCCGACGGAAAAGACGGAAGATTGATAGCTTCTTTCCGCTCGAGATTTTAGCCGATATCGGGATTTCAGTGGGGCTTCCTTACCTTCCTGAAGACTTCCGGCGGAGTTTCTGCGAAGAGGCTTCATTCTTCCCCGGCGAAGCGGAGCTGGAGGCCGCGGAAGCCTTGCGGTTAGTACCGATTCCGGCCACGGTGTCGCCGGCCCCATCAACGCCGATTGTACGAACCTCCCGGGGACGGATGCTAGTGCTTCCTTCACGATTCAATGACTCCGTTCTCATTGATCCGTGGAAGAAAGAGAAACCGAAGTTCAGAGTAATGGAACCGGAGTTAAAGATTGCAGCAAAACCGCCTGATCGTAAGAAAGACAGTTTTGGATACAAAGAAAATGACAGTTTTGGATATAAAGAAAATGGTTTTCTCAATCCCGGGGAAGCCAACTCCCTCGCATTGATCAGGGAAGAGGAGTGCTACAGAGCTTGCAGGAACTTCAGTGTGAGGAAGTACTCGACTTCACGAAGCACTCTTACATCCCTCTACGAAGCTTTCGTGTGTTTGGAGGAGCGTTTTCAGCCGCAGATCTATGGTGTTAAAGCTCCTGCTAGCTTTTCTCCAGAAGGACCAATGGAGGAGCACAGTTTTCAAAGAGATAGAGCTGAGCAACGAAAAGATTTCTTTTTCCCTGAGGATTTTGGTTTGGGGGATGTAGTTTGGGCGAAATCCGGCAAGAAGTATCCTTTCTGGCCTGCCATTGTCATCAATCCAGCTCTGCAAGCTCCAGCTATGGTGCTCAATTCCCGAATCTCTGGAGCTCTGTGTGTGATGTTCTTTGGGTTCTCTGGTAATGAAAGGGTATATTATACAGCGTAACCTTCCTGTATCTCTTTGGGATCTAATTCTTACTCATGGTGGAAAAACAAAATTGCCATGAAAATTCCTCAACGGGAGAATGATTGATGGATTGCCGTTCATCACACATTAAAATTTGTGTTCATGTTATGATGAGCTATGGTCCATCGTTCTCTTAAATCAGGAATTTATTTAAAAATCTTTCTAGTTTTGCTATGTATTGGAGACACATAATATCTATATATTATTGTTAATTATTTAATAGTTATGTAGATTTATTTTGAAGTCTAATTTGGGCAGCAACTGTGTAACCTTTTTTCTGTTATCTAAACTATTTAATGGCAGAGGAAAAAGATTTAGCTTTATTTTGATATTTGTCATTTAATAAACATTATTGATTAAATTAGTATTTTTTAAACTATTTGGACTATAAATAGTATATTTTAAATTTTTTTTTTGTTTTTTGTGTGTTTCACCTCAACTTTATGGGCAGGACTATGGATGGGTTAAACAGGGGATGCTATTTCCATTCATGGACTATATAGAAAGGTTTGTGAGTGGAGCTCTGAAAATATTGCATGATTCTTTCCTTAGTGGTTCTATTTCTGACCAGCAGTCTATTGTGGCAGGTTTCAAAGCCAGACGGAGCTCTACAGAAGCAAACCTTCTGAATTTCGCATGGCCATCGAGGAGGCATTCTTAGCCGAGCAGGGCTTCCGCGGAGCTGAAGTTGATGAAGGTAGTCTGGGCGTGCAGATGAGAGACAGGCAGTCTGTTCCCAGAGGCACCCAAGAAGCTACAGATTCTAACCATGAATTGGAATGCCTGTCACAGGTACAAGCAAGATGGTTGCAAGCATTTGCTTTTTTGAAAAGTTTATGTCAGGATATACTCTCAGGTTGGATTTTAACATATTTTTTTGGGGGGCATTTACATACTTACCACTCAATTCTTATGTATTTGCTTATCTAACACCTAAACATTACTTTTTTTACATTTAGACTTCCTAAATCTTTTCCAATCACATTAAAAATACCATTTTTAAAACTTTCTAACGGTGAAATATACATTTGAAAGCATAAGTTGACATATATGTAAAAAATGATATTTAGGTGTTCGATATGTAAATACATAAGAATCGAGTGGTATTTATGTAAATCTACTTCACTCATTAGAAAGTGAAGTAAATCAAACAAATTTGAGACATATCCTGTTGAGACATATCCTGTGAACCAAATTTTTTTTTTTCTTAATTAACATTTGCAATGAAGTTATCTATCTTTAAGTCAAGAGATATATGAGAATGAGCAGTTGTTCACAAGGGTTTTATAGCTGAATCCAGTGACGAAGTTTGGTTGAAACATAAGAGGGAACAATCCTGTTTAGTTTTGGAGTTCATTACCAAAGGATTATTACAGTTCACATGTATCCATGCTCTCTGATTCAGTTTTAAGATGTTGCCAACCTGAAATTGTTCTTAAAGCAAGATAATATTATTAATTTTTGAAGAGTTTTTTCCCATATAGTATTCTAGTAAATATCAATCAGGTCTCTAGCCCTGGCCCACTGGTGTGCTTTAGCATCACACAGCAAGTAACCACACAGATTTTCAATATATTTTCAGATTATTCACCAATCCTTCTTTTCAATCTACCAGAGTATTGCATGTTTAGTTATTCTTGGACCTGATTGGGCTTTCATTATCAGTCAGGAGACAAATTTGGGTATAAATGTGAAAGTTGTGGATTGACACTTCCATTAAAAAATACGAAGAATATTAAGCAGACATCAGAAGAGTTGATCTGTAGGCGCTGTGCAAAGGTATATCATGGCGAGCATTGAGTGAATTCACTAGAATCTTATTGCCAGATATGGATCTCCACATATACCCATTTCTCAATCATTTCTGATGTTTTATGGTCACTTTTATACTTTGAAGCTATTGAGATCAAAACAATACTGTGGAATTTGCAAGAGGATTTGGCATCGCTCGGACAATGGGAGTTGGGTAAGTTGATATACTTTCACTGTCATAAAGGTTTCTTTTATTCGTCAAACGTGTATGTTAGTGCAAAAACTCAAATTTTATCTGCAATATTCTTTTTATTGCAGGTTTGCTGTGATGGATGCCAAGTCTGGGTTCATACGGAATGTGACAAAATGTGTAGCAATCTTAAGGTCTGCTTCATGTAATCCTTTTGGCGTTATAATTTCATGAGATTAACTGTGGCCATCATCTTCCTTGTGTATTTGTGCTGATTTTAATACATATTAATTTTATAAAGGATATTGAAAGTACTAACTACTATTGTCCGGAGTGCAAGCCAAAATTTCATAGCGAATCAACAAATGCAAATAAAAAGATCTCACAAGACAGGTTATTTTTTCTCTTTTTCTCTTTTTTTTTCGGACAATTACATACCGACCACTTAAAACTTGCTATTTACAAATCAACCACCTTCTTTTATCCATTTTTCGAATTCTCTGTCAAATATCAAAATTCATGGTAAAAATTCTACCCATATTTTTGATTTTAACAAATTCTAAATACATCAGTTTGATAATTCAAAAAAATTACTTGGATGGTTAATTTATAAATATCCATGTTTCGGGTGGTTTGTACGTAATTATCCCTTTTATTGTATTTTTCTCTCTCAATGATTTGGATTGACATCTTTTTGTATTATTATTAAAATTTGCTTCATTTCTGAACAGATATGATCACGGTGGTCGGGTAGAGATGAAATCCGGCCAGGTGGCTGTAATTTGTTCAGGTGTGGACGGGACATACTTTCCTGAGCAGCACATGTAAGCATCAGTTGACCAACCTTCCATCATGTAAAAAAATAAATAGCTTATTTTTTGAATGTGTTTTCGCTTTCCCATCTAATCATTAGGTTGCTCCTTCTAACCATTTTTACAAGCTTTTAACTGTGTTTTCTTAAATCTGTAAATTAAACAACAAAAGCTTCTCAATGAACTATCCTTCAATGGTAGTAATTGCAAATGGGCTTTGAAATGTTTAAATCAAAGCCCCTCTTCCCTCATCCACTCGCACAACTATTTTTACAACCATGTCTTTTCTTTAATTTTCTTTTCAACATGCTTATTATCATAAATGCATTTTAATAATAAATACTGTTAAACTTTTTTTTGTTAAGGGTATTATGCCATTGTGGCCTTTGCAAGTCACAGAAGATAACACTAACAGAATGGGAGCGGCACACCGGTTGCAAAACGAAAAACTGGAAGAGTAGCGTGAAGGTCAAAAACAAAATGCTATCGCTCGGAAAATGGGTACTAAGTCAACTTATTTATTTTCTTATCATCATTAGGATGCCATTATAAAAATCAGTTCTTTGAAAAGAAATGGTCTTTGTTACCACAGTTATTGATATTTTAAGACACTTCTAAGGAGCGGGGACCACTGAAAATTTTTAACATTTTAATGTTACTCTACAGTTGGACCAATACAATGCACTCTTTCCCTTTCCAAACAATATGAAGCGCCCATCTCCAAAAGTGAGAAAACAGAAACTGCTTGATTTCTTGCAAGGTATATTGATTTGATCAATTTTGGATAACTTTTCTTGACAGTTTTAGCAATGTTGCTCCATTTATGCTCTGAAAAGCATTGAAAAATGAATTTTTTATGATTCTCATTTCTCTTAAACAGAAGAATATGAACCAGTGTATACTAAATGGACAACAGAGCGATGTGCAATCTGTAGATGGGTTGAGGACTGGGATTACAATAAAATTATTATCTGTAATAGGTAATTTTGGGTTCTCTTCCTCTTCCAAAATGTTCAAGTTTCTTCTTTCTTCTTTTTTTTGTGTGAATTCATAGGTGCTACTCATCCAAGTTGCTCCTAAATGCTTAAAGACACTGACAATTCATGTACTCTGATGTTATTTCCAGGTGCCAAATAGCTGTCCACCAAGAATGCTATGGAGCAAGAAACATTCGTGATTTCACATCTTGGGTTTGCAGAGCCTGTGAAACACCTCAATATACACGGGAGTGTTGCCTCTGCCCAGTAAAAGGTACTATTTCTGGTTAATGAAAAAGATTGTTTTTTGATCTAAGGCATTACTGAAATTTTTTTCCATTGAGTCTAACAATGCTTCAAGCCTAAGATCACTGTGAAAGAATTTTTTGTCCATTAATACTCTTTGATATTTTATATTACTTCCGTGCCAATATTAATTTTTGTTGCAATTTTAAATATGATATAGTTTATTAAACTTGGGCAGGTGGTGCTCTAAAGCCTACAGATATAGAAGAACTCTGGGTTCATGTCACTTGTGCCTGGTTTCAACCTGAAGTCTCCTTTGCAAGTGGTGAAAAGATGGAGCCTGCTGTTGGTATATTGAATGTCCCATTGCAGTCTTTGGCTAAAGTAAATACACTGAATCTTATGACGGACTTATATCAGTTGATTAATTATATGAATGACTGCATTTTTCTCAAGTTACAAATGAGTTAATTGTTTTTTTCCCTATCAGACATGTTCAATATGTAAGCAGATGCACGGTTCTTGTACACAATGCTACAAATGCTCCACTTATTATCATGCTATGTGTGCCTCCAGAGCAGGATTTCAAATGGAGGTATGCCTGTAAACTTATTCTCACACTTACTGAGCTAATGTGGCATATTTGTAAAAGTTCCCTTTGCAATAATAGGAAAAACTTATGTTATATGCCATGTAAATTTTAGTCAAACTAGATTTTTCAGTCCCGCCAGACAGTGCAGAAACCATAATGTTGCAATTAAAATAAGCAACAGAAGAACCATTTTATATTTGTTTGTCCTCTTTTTGATTGATACTGATGGCGGTTTTATTTGTCATGGTTATTATTAAACCATTGTGAAAATTGAACATATGAGCAAAAAATTGTTTTGTCTTCAACACTTGATGGTCATCCGTAAAATATTTGATAAGATTGCATTTGACTGTATGATGCTATAATTTGTTACTAGCTGTTTTGTTGTAGTTGATTCTCGTCTTTGAAAAGGTCTTGTCAAATAATCAATAAGTGAGGATTGGGCCTCAGTTTTATTCGTAGCCAGAGTACCGTAGGAAGGCGAGCACGAGTTTCCATTTCTTGAGCATTTTTTTCTGCCGAATTCCAGTCTGTCCTGGGGGGGGAGTTGGGAGCACAACAATGAACAAAATGAGGGAATCTTGTAATATTGTATTCATGAAATGATTCCCTATTTATAGACAAAGAGGATGCAACATATGGAGTTATATTTATGCCCCTACTTAAGAGGGACTGTACAAATTACTCAAGTATTTCACTCTTGTGGCTCAGGCCCTTGCTGCTCTCTTGATCGGTCGCCTAGGCTTGGTAGGGCTTCGATGAGTTTTATCGGTTGGCTGGTTCTAACGGTGTCACCTATCAGATAGATTTGTAAACACTGTCAGTCGACTCGCTGGTTGACTAGTCCAATTGACCAAATTTTGTCGATCCGTAGGCGTTGTCCGGTCGTCGACCCTCAATCTCCACGAAGAAGCTTCTGTTGACAAGGTTTTGCTAGGCCATCGAGCAAAGAGAAATCACTGTAATTCATTGGATAGCCTTTCTTTGGACAAGAGGATCCTAGTGGGATGGGTGAGACCTGTTATATGCTTTTGATGGTATTGAGGGAGACAACTAAATGATTCCAATATGAAAATCAGAGGGACAAGCTTCTCTCTCGGGTTGACTTCATCATGGTGACAGGCTTAGATGACTTTTTTCTTCTTGTCTAGGTGAGCTGCTCAAGCTAATAGCACTTCGACCGCCTTTGTGATTTATGCAGTCTCGGGTTTGCCATATCAGGCTAGATATTTGGTTCACCTATCCGCCTTTTGGTCGGCCGTCTTGGTATTAGGCCATTTTCTCTTGGACCGTTTGATTTTCTTGAGATTCGTGCTGTCATAATTTCTGTGTGTATTTTCTTTAACAAACATACTGAAATCTGTTGAGAATTTTTTGACCTTGTATCCCATTTAAAGGCTTGAAAAAATAAAAAGAACAAAAAGATAACTTAGGTTCAATGATTGAACAACAAAAACCTCCTTTTGTTGCCATATATATATTTCTGTCACAATCTACGGATTTTCATTTACTTTTTCCCTATTATAAATATGTAATTTCTTTTATTTTTCAGTAAATCAAGGTAATCGATACGTCGGCACTTAACTTATTTATCTAATTCTAGTCTTGAATGCTTTATGTTAGCATAACAGTTGATGAAGTCTATTTTCTCTGCAAGTGTGAAATGAAGGCTCAATTTAACATCTTATTGTTTTGCCAGTTGCACTGCCTAGAGAAAAACAGGAAACAAGTAACCAAAATGGTCTCATACTGTTTGCAGCACAGGTAAACCAATATCTGCTTGTCTTATTATTTAGTATTTTTCATAATGCTATCTGAATCTGCCTGTTATGTTTCTTTGTTGCAAATCAGCATGGATTTTTCTGCCAAGTGTTTTAGATTTTGAAACCTAAGATGTACTTTTCATATCATTCTGACATGTCTACAGCTTCAATAGAGGTTTCTATTATTCACCAACTTCACTCCAACTGTCAATTTTATATTTATTTAGCCTATCTTATGTGCAGGCCCCCAAATCCTGATAATGTATTAATCATACATACTCCTCATGGAATCATCTCAGCCAGAGGCTTGCTCCGTAAAAAAGAAAAGAAAAATGGTTCAAGGCTGATTAGGAAAGAAACCAATGATGATGAAACTATTATTCATACTCTTATTTCTGAAACTTCTTCCGCTGCAAGGTGCCGGATATACAAAAAGATTGATTCTAAGGTGCATTTTAATGAAATGTTTCTTTGGATCATGCTAAGAGTTTATACTCATTCTTAAAACTTAACTTTCTGGCCTTATATTGTAGAATTTTTTACAAATCTTATAGAAGTTTATTTTTCATTTACTTTCTAATTCTTGTCAGAGGATGCAGAAAGAACCCGTTGCTCATCGTCTTATGGGACCTCGCTATCATCCATTGAATGAAATTCAAAGTTTGAATGCTCCTAAGGTGAAACTTCACGTGCAGTGCACTGGACTGTTTTTTTTTTTTTGCTTTAATAATGCTTATCGGAGAAAAGAAATAGGAAGATTTACATACATGTCACATAATTCCTATGTATTTACATTTCTAGCGCCAAAACTTCAATTTTTTACATGCATACCACCTCACTCATGCACCAAAAGGTGTATTTCACTTCATAAAAGTTAAAATGGTGGCTTTTTTAATGTGATATGAAGGTGTAAAAATTAAAGTTTAGGTGTTCGATATGCAAATACATATGAATTGTGTGGTATGTATGTAAACGCCCCGAAGAAATATTATTTATCACATTTTTGTAAATGATAAACAGGAGGAAAGGGATCCTAATTCATTTTCTTCATTCAGAGAGCGGCTTTACTATTTGCAGGCATGTCTATTCTGTCCACAATTTACCCTTACATTACAATTTGGACTATGTTTTGACATTTTGAATGCTTCAGTCAACGGAAAACAGTAGGGTCTGTTTTGGTAGATCTGGAATACATGGATGGGGTTTACTCGCTCGCAGAAATATTCAAGAAGGCGAAATGGTACTCTCTACTTTCAGCTAATCTAACATAATTTCTAGTTGTTTTTTTCCTTAAGTGCAGTTGTTATTTATTACTTAAAAGGTGACTCTTTTTCTATGGAATGATTAGATACTTTCTATATCTTGTACTTTGTGCAACTTCTTCTAAACATTTTTTTAAGTAAACCTTTTGAGAGTTCTCAAGTATTACGATTACTTTTATTTCAGATTGTTTCTTTGCCATAGAAGCATTGCTCTGTTTCAATCTCTTCTGCAAGGAAATCCATATTATCACTACCAATTTTAAAGATTCTTAAAGTGCTACTTGTGATGCAATTACTTCATATTACTTATTAATTTTTGTTACATTTTATCAAGTTCTTAACAATTGCGTTTATTTATTTTTGTAATGTTATTTTGGATCAATCAAATATAGAACTGATTTAGTGGTATGAACTTTTGCTTATGTTTTTTTTCAGGTTCTAGAGTACCGCGGTGAACAAGTGCGGGGTAGTGTTGCGAATTTGAGAGAGGCTCATTACCGATTACAAGGGAAGGATTGCTATGTGAGTTTCTATGTACTACTTTTTATTTCATGTTGATCACATTTTCCTGCAAATATCAGCTAAAGATTATAATTTGTTTTACCTCACTAATCTGCAAATTATTGTTGTTAGGCCACTCAATTGATAATAAGAGAAGATTTTGCGAACCAAAATTAAATATAAACTATACTCAGACCAGTTTTATTACTTGAATATGTGTTGTGCTATAAAGATTTTGCTAATAACTAAGTTGAGTGGAATTAAATTGACATTGTTAGATTACAACAGGAAAGAGAGTAACTGTTAATTAGATGTGATAATGAAAAATGAATCAGATGTTTTCAGCTAATGCAACTGGATGCAAGAAGATATACCAATTAGGTGAGTGGATAAAATGAATGTAAAAAAGGATAAGGACTGAAACTTAGTAAACCAAAGGTGTATTATGAGAAAACATGCAAAAATGATTTGTATGAATTAATGTGCATTGCATTTTCATTCATCATCTTTTACTATAAGGGATCTCTGTCTGCAGTTGTTCAAGATTAGCGAAGAGGTTGTGGTTGACGCTACAGATAAAGGAAATCTTGCACGGTTAATCAACCATTCCGTGAGGCCATCAACTCAAATTATTTTGTCATACTTAGATTTTGTGTGTTCCAGCTTACTAATTTTTTTGTGTTGTTATGTTTTGTGATGTAGTGCATGCCCAACTGCTATGCAAGGATTATGAGTGTGGGAAATGATGAGAGTAGGATTGTTCTCATCGCAAAGACCAATGTTTCTGCCGGCGACGAGCTAACGTATAACCAGCATCTCACATTCTCGTTTGTTTTGATTTTCTTTTTATTAATCTCTAGATGAAATGAGATGGTTAGTTTACCAATAAGTTATGTCGTATTATGACGGAGTTGCCATACATGCATGTTATATGAGTTTACTCATGGGCTCAGTCAAACTCAACTTGTTAACATATCCTTTGGGGCTATTTGGAATTACTTTTATTTTTATTTTATTATTATTAGTTTTTCGTGTTTTGTTTATATTTTGATTTGAAACAAAACATATTTATTATGCTTGATCAAGATATGATTATATTTGAAAATACTCAAGATAAAGATATCTAGAAGTTATTTTGAGTATTTTCAAAAACATGTTTATTTGTTTGTAGAAACGATAAATAAAAACTTGTTAAAAATACATTAAACAATTATGTTTTAAAAATAAAGAAATAAGAACAAAAGCAAAAAATAAAATTGATCCCAAATAAGCCCTTGATGTTTTGATGGTTTGGGCAAGTAAAACAGGCAGTAGATGGTTTGGGCAATTATAACAATGGGTTTATTATATGTCTATAAGACCATTAGATTAAATTGTGTAGAATGAGAAAATATGGGATTTGACCAATGGTAATTTGTATAGAAAATGTGCAAAAAGATTGCCTCTTACATGAAAGTTGTTTAGCACCTCATGTAACACTTAGCAAATGGGGTTTGAATGATTCAATCGAGTCGATATGACATTAGCTTAAGTTGGCTTTAAGTTATTTAACTTGATTTCGAACCAAGCTAGTTGAGGTAAACAATGCGTGAATTATTGACTTTGATTCAAACCAAAACTTGATCCAACTTCAGAAGCTCATCCATCTACTAAAATAAATGTATATATCTAGTTATACAAAAATCAATTTATATTTCACTCATTCTATGTTGTGAAGATATATCTTTTTCATCTGCTGCAGGTATGACTATCTATTTGATCCTGATGAAGCGGAAGAATGCAAAGTTCCATGCCTTTGCAATGCTTCTAACTGCCGGATGTTCATGAATTAGACAGCTTTAATTAGTTGATTTTTTTCCATACAAGGGTGCATTTTTATGCCACCCGTTGACATTGAGGTTTCTCCTTCCCACATAATTGATGAGTTTATTTTTTTATTTTTCCAATCTTTATTTATTTCTTTCAACAAGTTTCCATCTTTCTTCCAAAGAAAAGGCTTTTAGGCAAACTCATGGCTTAGGATACAGGCACACAGAAATGGTGCTGCTACTGTAAATATGTTTGGTCATGTATGGAATGATTAAAATCATTAATCAAACTCATATAGTCTTTACTCAGAAGATGAACTGATCTTTTTATTTCCTTGATTCGAGTGGTGTAAAATGTAATTACTGAAGAAAACTGAGCAGAATGAAAGTAGTCCATTTTTTATTACAGAGAAAAGCTCTGGTTCAATGGAGGCAAAATCGATGCTTCGTTTGAGAACACCGTCACACTCCGTTACATTTAATGAATACCGATGCATAAATTTATATTTCGTTTGATAAAATAGCGTATCCCGACGTCTCCCCAAAGGAGATTTTTTCTCCTTTTAGAACTTTGACGATGATGCTCGTTCTGCCATGCGAAGAAAGCCTGAAGCTGATTGGATGGGTAGGCCTTCTTGTTTTTGGCCTCAAGCATCGCAAAATTAGGAAGAAGAAACTAGAACTTCCTCCTACTGATGCTTACTGATATGTTGGCGATGGTTTGTAAACTTCCTTTTATGATTTTTCTGTGAATAAGGATTTTTGGTCGAGGTTGAAGAATTTGAGCAGGTGTGCTTCTGTCATACTCTCCAATGAAGATTTATTACAAGTATAAAATATATATGGATGTAAATTTTAGGTGAGAGACAAGCTCTAGTGAGAGATTCTTGTTGACTTCATGAACCCCAAGTTGAAAAAATCATATTTTTATGGTAAAAATGTATAATTAAACATTACTAATGATTTCATCAGAGGGCTTTTGATCTGCCTGCATTTTAAATATAAAGTAATCCAAGGGTTGCTGTATGTTTGATTTTTTAGAATAAGACAATATGTATATTTCTCAGTGCATTTTTCTAAGAGCTTAGTTTTCTTAACATGGTTTTACGATGATCTTTTTAGAAGGTTTAGGCCACCTCAACAAAGGCTTCAAAAGAATATTTGAATTTTTGTAAAACAAATTTTTACTTTTTCGTTTAAGTTTTTGTTAAAAAGTTTCTGCTGCAGAAACTTGTACTTTTTTGTTTATAAGATTTAAGAAGTCTTTCCCACTATTTTTATAGTGTAATGCTTCTTATATGTATGTATTTTACATATCCTTAACAATAAGGAGAGTTGTTTACTCATCTGGTAGGAGGGTCTTTCGCTCGCCCTGTAGGAGAGATTTTCGCTCGTTCTGTGCAGGAGTCATTTGCTCATCTTGTGGAGGAGTCTTTCGCCCATTCTGTAGGAGAGACATTCACTCATCCCGTAGGAAAGACTTTAGCCTGTCCTGTAGGAGAGACTTTCACTTGTCCCGTATGCGAATCTTTTGCTCTTTTCGTAGGAAAGTCTTTCGTTCATCCGATATGAGAGTCTTTTACTCGTCCTGTAGAAGAGGCTTACTAAGTTACCGACCGTTTAATTTGTCCCTCGGTGACCCGAGTTCACTGAGTATTAAACTCTCTTGAGTTCCTCGAGTGTCATTTAGAACTGAATTTACATAAAATTAACAAACTTAAATCTTCTTAAAAATGTAAACTTACAAGTGTTTATAAATGACATTCTTTCGAACTGTAGAATGTTTATACATGATTTTTTTTAAGGAAAAAATATCTTCTGATCATCTTCACTCCATGTTCAGGGGAGTTCTATCCTAATATAAGTTCTTAGTTTCTAAGCTCCATGAGATACTCGCTCGCTAATGTTGTATGGTCCATTCCAAGTTTGAACAAATTTGTCGACCGCCTGCCTGCGAGCAGCTGGGTTGGTTTTTTCAGATCTAAATCCCCGAGAGCGAAGACTTTCTCTCGAACATGCTTGTTGAAATACCGAGCAGTACACCTCTTGGCTTCCTCTTGCAGAAGAGCTGAATTTATTTGCTTTTTTTCTGCTAAATCGAGGGAAAGCAAGTTTCATTATTGGCTTTTTGTCATTCTGCCAAAATTTCTTCAGCAAATATAGAGCCAGTGACAACTCTCTGGCTATGATACTTGTATTCGACTGGTAACTCCGCATCCATCCTATCTGTTAACATAAATGAAGTTTGACTGGTCGCTGTCGAAGGTGTCGTTTGGATGACCCATAAGACGGATGGCAACAAGTCTGCCCAATTTCTTTTGGCTCTTCCAACTTTTTTCCTTAATAAATTCAGGGTGATCTTGTCCGCCTACCCGTTCGTTCATGGGTGATGAACCAAGACAAAATTTAGATCAATTCCTTGACTGGCGCAAAAATATTTCACTTGTTGGTTAGTAAACTATGTTCCATTGTTGGTAATGATAACGCGTAACGAGCCATATCAACAGATGATATTCGTCCATATGAAATTTTGAACCACTTTTTCAGTGATTTTGGCAAGCGTCTTTGCTTCAATCTACTTTAAGAAGTAATTCACGACAACCATTAGAAATTTTTGTTGGTCTTTTGATGGTGGAAATGCCCCAAGAATAACCAATCCCAAGTTGGTGAATGGTCAGTGGCTAGTGATCGGCTGAAGCTTGAGAGCAAACTGGTGATGTAAAGTTGCATACTTCTAGCATTCTTCTCATTTCCTTCAAAAATTGCTGAGCATCTTTCAAAAGCGTAGGCCAAAAATAGACTTGTCATTAAACATGATATGCCAGTGTCTTGCCTCCTAAATAACTTCTACACTCTCTGAAATGCACGTTCCAAAGGACATCTTTTGCTTCGTCTTCTTTTAAACACCTCAAATACATGAAAGTGACCTACCGTCTGAAGAATTTTCCTTTGATCATCAAATACAAGACAAGTTTAATTTTAAAAAGCCTTGGAGTTGTAATTTCTTTAGCCAGTAATCCCCTTTTCGAGTATAGGATGTAAGAATCCATCCAACTTTTAATGCTTTCGTTTGACACCTCCATAGTCTCAGATTCCTCAATTATCGATCATATAATTCGTTGTCGCTCTTCTTCTTAGCTAATGCACTTAGATGGAACTTTAGTGACTTGATTTTCTTCCAGACCAATGTGCTTGATCTTAATGCTAGTAAACTTCCCAATATCTTGTTTGACTTTACTGAGATATTTGATCATCATCTCATCTCTAGCTTCAAATCCTATATTTACGTGGTTCACAACCAACAATGAATCCAACTTTACAATGAGACTACGGGCGCGTATCTCATACGCTAGGCGTAATCACGAGATTAGAGCTTCATACGTCGCTTGGTTGTTGGCAACTTTGAACTCCACCATATTCGAGCAGTAGAAGTGCTCACCAATGGAGTTGCTAAAAGCTAATTCAAGCCTTGCATTTGATTGTTTAGAAGCTCCTTCGATGTGTAAGATCCATACTTGGTCATTGTTTGCGTTTTCGTCGCTCAATTTGACTGCCTCGAAAAAATCCATCAGAAAATCTGTGATCAACCGTGCTTTGATTGTCGTTTGAGGCACATAGAAGATGCCTAACTCGCTAAGTTCCACGAACAACTTAAGGAGCTGATCGAAATGTTCCGATTGTGTGAGAACGAACTTCAACGGATGATCTGTGATGACCCAAAATGGGTGAATTTGGAAATACGACCGGAGCCTTCAAGCGAAAAAAACCAAAATAAAACTTAGCTTTTCCATTATAGGGTACTTGATTTTGGCGCCTTTGAGGACTCAGCTTGTGTAGTAGACCAAATATTGCTTCCTTTGTTCCTCTCTGATGAGCACTGAGCTAATTACCTCTCGTCTGACTCCCAAATACAGGGAGAGTTCTTCATTCGATTTTGGGCTTTAGAGGAGCGGTAGAGATACCAAAGAATTATCTAGACCCATAAGAACTTGCTTGCATTTGTCAGACCATTCAAAATGCTTGCTTTTCCTTAAGTGTCCTAAAGAAACCTCAGCACTTATCACCCGATTTCGAGATAAAACAACATAGCCAGGTATCCAACAGGTCAATTTTTGAATTTCTTTTGCATTTTGAGGGGATAACATATTCATCAAGGCTTTTAGTTCTCTAGATTTACTTTTATGCCTTTTGGGGTTAAGAGATAATCGAGGAACTTTCCAGTTAAGGCGCTCAAGGTGCATTTCAGTGGGTTTAATCTCATGTTATATTTTTTAAGTGTTGAAAATGTTACTTTCAAGTCATTAATATGTTGTTCTGATGACTGAATCTTTACCAAGACATCATCAACAAACACTGAAATTTTTTTTTCCTTTCTGATAAAAAAATATTACATCCATAAGAAGCTGGTATGTAGCTCCAACATCCTTATGCCTGAATGATATTACATTAAAACAAAACCCACCTTCAATACTAAGAGAAGATGATTTTTTTGTGTTGGTTGGATACATTTTAATCTGTTGGTAGCCAAAGAATCAACTGAGGAAGTTCATTACTGAATAACCGATCACCACATCAACTAGTGTATCTTACTTTGACAAGGGATAGATGTCCTTCGGTCAGGTGTTGCTGAGGTTTGTGAAATCCACACACAACTGTCATTTCTGTTTGTTTTTCGCACCATCACCACATTGGAAACCCAGGTTGGATACTGGTCTTTTCTGATGTAACCTACCTACTTCAACATCCTCACTTCTTTGGGAGTTGGCTCAGCCAAGTTTCTAGCTAACGTCCAGATTTTCTGTTGTCCCGATCAAGTTGTTGGATTGATGCTCATACAATGGCACGCCACATCAATTGGTAGCTCAGACATTTCTGTTACTATCCAAGCAAAAATGTCTTGATGCTCATGAAGACTTTGGATTAGCATGCTTCTGTATTCTGCATCAAAATGCTCATTTATCATATAAAATTTACTAAGGTTCTTGATTAATGCCAAACTCTTAAGGATGGTCTCACTAGTCTTAAGACTCCGTTTCCTTCGGATTTATATATCGAGCAGATCCTACTTAATGCCGTGAACGCTCGGAGATAGGAACACCTAGATTGCTCTAAATTCCCTCAAATGGTGATAATCTCCTCTCCGACCATAAATTTCACAGCTACGTGATAAGCTGAAACTATTAATTGATAACTATTCAATAGTGGTCAGCTGAAAATGACTTTGTATGTTGGTGGTGATTCAACAATTAGGAAGCCTTCTATTCTGTTGAACTGCTTCTTCTGCTGCCCCAGGAATTCATAGGGTGATGATGCCTAAGTCTTCTTTTTGCTTGC